GTTCTACAATTGAAGACTCGAAAACAAATGTTCTTCTTCTCATCATTTTTTCCCTCTTATTTATACTTACTGTGATAGCCTTTTTTATGCTTTGTACAGTATTTGTGAAGAATACAACATATATAAATAAAACTAAATTAGGAACCGTGCAGGGAATATATAACTTTACATCGCATACAATACCAATTACGGCGGTATCCGTCTTAACAAAAAACATTATTTATTCGAGGTGTAATTTAAAGGTTAAAATAGTTTTTAGCTTTTTTTCCATCTCCATTATTCGAATACATCGTATTTTCAAAAAAAAAAAATAAGATTGGGCTTATCTTTCTACCTTTTCTGTTTTCCATTAATTCTTGTGGATACGAAAAGGATACTTCTCTGGATATTTTTACAGGTTTATGTATAGGCAAATTATATTAACAATAGTTATTGATCAAAGTCGTTCAAAAATTATCTGTGGTTAAATTTAAAAGGTGCAATCCATCAGCTGAGCAGGTCGTAAGATAGGTATTATTCTTTTTCTCCTTTGCACTATTTTTTTATTTTTCAGGTATTTAGATTACTAAAGTCTATCGTATTACTTTCGGATAATTTGTTACTAAGCAATCCCTCCTGTCTTGGAATTACATACGGTAACTATAATATATAATAGTGTTTTTAGGAGGAAAGGGTGATGTTTGACTTTATTTTATTCGTTGCACCCTTTAGAACATATTCACTATTGGCAAGTCATCATTTTTATGCAGCGTGCTGAGAATATCTTAACGAAATCACACTTGCTCTTTCCTTTTATAGTTCTGCACCTTGTCCGTGACTCTGTTTATTAGTCTTTACATTTAGTTCCCACGACGTGTAGACTCTTTGATAGCGCTTACAACATACCCAGTTTTAGCTAGGTGTATTTCATTTTTTATCGCGACTATCCTTTTGCTTAAATTTTAAAACTAGTATACGATATTTTCTCTCTTTAACTTGTGTGTGAACTTGTCTCGACCCATAAAACTATTTATATATATCTCATTTTTGTTTTAGTGATTCTGCTTTTCATATATCCCTTGTTCCAGAATATACAAGAAAAGAGGGGAAAATTAGAAGGGATATAAAAGGGAAAGCGCAGTTCTGCTTCGTGGTTTGCTACTGTTTCCTGCCTCTCCACTGATACTCAAGTCGATATATTTGTAAGTTGCTGGGCATAATCGCATTTTTTCGAAGTGTTGGTGATTTGGGCTTTTAACTTGCTACGGACTCAACAGTAATGCTATCGAAACAACGTCCGAACCATTCTTGCCATTACGCGACCACGCGTTGTGAAGTGAACGGACACACATCCTCTATACCCACACAGCCCCAGTCACTCCATGTCAGCCCCATATGGCCAAGTTCTGGTCCCATGCCGCCGTCCCCTGCTTCTGTCCGATCCCTTCCGACCCCCCGGGCGTCCGGCCGGACGGCGATGCCGGAATGCTCACAGCCCAACTCCTGCTCCTGTGAGTGCGACCCCCTCACTCTTTCCAACGCGGAGGACCCCTTTGTGTGTCCAGGCTCGCAGCCCCCCCGCCGCCTTCTCTTGAGGGGCGTCAAGAGGGCGATGGGCGGCGACGCCGCGGGCGACCTCCTGCTGACCCCTTCCGCACGCATCCTCACCACTCACCAGCCGTACAGCCGGTGCGACCTCTCCCTCCCCCCCTCCCCGGTGACGACGCTTTCTTCCACCCCGCTCCTTTCCGCTATCCCTTCCCCGACCACCGAAAGCGGCGAAGGGGGCCAGCCCGGTGAGCTCCCCTTACCCCCACCCCGCACCAAACTTTTCCTCTTCAACATCCCTTCTTATATCAACAACGCCCATTGTTTGCGGCACCACGTTCCCCCTTCCGGGCTCGTCTCCTTGCGTGTGAAGCGGATCACGGCGTGGCGGGATGTGGGGTTTGCCGAGTACGCCACCCCCGAGGCGGCGCAGGCCGCGATGGAGTGGTTCATCGCCGCGCGGATGCTGCGCAACAGACTGGGGGGGGTGGCCACGAAGACATCCGGAGGCGCTGTGCCCTCCCAGATGCGGAGCTTCATCTACCCTTACCCCTTTCAGGAAGGGTTTCCCGATGAGTTCCCCACAAAGGGTGAGATGGAAGGGGCTGGGGAGGGGTATGGGGAGTTTAAGGAGAAGTGCAAGGGTCTCCTGCTGCCGTACGTCGATCTCGGCGTCAGCATGAGTGAGGACCCTGCGCGGTTCATCCAGCTTCTGTTGGGCTCTTCCCTGCTTCGGGCGGATTGGGCGAAACACTACGCGACCGGCGAGCCGGCAATCATGCGAACAATGTCGGGTGGGGGCTCGTCGGATAGCACGGATGGGTGGCGTGCGGCACTGCCCCTGGATTCACCCCCCAGTAGCACCGTCTTCATCAAGATGCGGAGAAAATTCCCTAATATTCTGGGCAAGCGTGGCTCTGATGTCGACGCGGTATCGGCGATGACGAAAGACGAGCTGTGCGACAAAGCCGTTTCGTTCGTGGATGGGAGACAGACCAATGGACGGGATACCAGCGCAGCGTCAGGGGAGGATACCATCACCTGTCATCGAACTTCTGATGAATTGGACAGTAAGGACTCGTGTGAGTTTGCAGGGCTTTCAGCCTTTGGTGTGGCATGCATGGTGATGCAAGAGAGTTTCTTTTCCGAGCGATTCGCCGGATTTTTCTCGTTTTCGCCGTTTCGCCATCCCCCGTTTAACGGCGGCTGTTTCGTGCGTTTCATCTGTAATGAGGACGCTCTGCGGTGTATGCGGTGGATGCTGAGCCAGCCGGAGTTGCAACAGCAGTTCTATGTGCAAATAGCGCGACATGACTCTTTGATAACTCGGTCAAGTAGTCAGCCGAGTCTAGTAGAAAGTGTCACAAAATATTAGGTTGACACTACTCAATCCATCGTGGGTTCCTGAAGAAAAAACACTAGCTTAAAAATATCAAAATGTGGGGAGGCGGTAAACAAAGACAACAATAAAAACACAAAGGCAGAATAGCGCCCAACGCGTTGTGTGTTAATCCTTCTATCTTTTCGGTATTTCGTCCTTTTCTTCTGTGTAAACTATATATATATATATATATGTGTTGTGGTGGTTCACATTTTATATCTTACAAGAAGAGTGGAATGACAATTTGCATTTTAATTTATAATACCAATATTAAGATTTAATCTGATTTCCTTTCATACATTTTTAAATGCTCTCTGATGCCTTGCCACAGAATGTGAGAACCCGAAACTAAAGTAAAAAAAACGTGTATCCCTCTTACTCACTTTTGCATCTGTCTGAGTAAGCTATATAGCAAGTATTTTTGTGTTATCTACATTTAACAATTCTTGTATTAATATATTTTTAGCATATTTAAGTCAATGATTTTTATTTATGCTCTGATTTTCATACTGTAGTCCTTTTTTTTCGTGTGAGGAAGGAGCAACGTGTTAGAGAATGATTCTCGCGTTGAAGAATGATGAATATTTTTATGAAGATATGTTTAAGGTAGGAACACGAGACGGGTGTGCGTGCATATGTGCATATATGAAGTATTTTGGCATCTTTGTTTGTGTTGATTTCTCATAATAATTTGTCTATCTTTTTGTAATCTATTGCAATTCCATATTTTTTTATACCAAGTACATCGTCATTTTTTGTTGTTAAAGCTTAAACCAACTAGCTAGTTGTTGTTACGAAATCACACACACACACATACATAAATAAATATATATATATATTTGTTTATTTATTTAGTCCTTTTGAGATTACCATTTAATTGATACCCCGCCCGATCAACTTTATCGCATTCGACCCATGGCCAAGCAGGGGGACTGGTTGCTTTCCCTTAAGCCGGTGTTAGCGCTGCTTCCCGAGATGGCGAAGCCGTTGCGCGTGCCGAACATCAAAGAGCGTATTCTCTGGACGGCGATCGTGCTCTTTATCTTTCTTATCAGCTGCCAAGTACCGGTGTACGGGGCGCGCACGGGGAACACTTCGGATCCTTTTTACTGGATGCGTGTGGTGTTGGCAAGCAACAAAGGTACCCTGATGGAGCTCGGCATCTCTCCCATCGTGAGCGCCTCGCTGATCCTCGAGTTACTCGCCGGAGTCGGGTTGATCGGCTACGACAGCAATGATCGCAAGCAGGCGGCGGCCTTCCAGGGTCTGCAGAAGATCTGCGCGATCCTTTTCACCATCCTCGAGGCGGTTGCGTACGTTTCCTCAGGGATGTATGGCGATCCCCGAGCGATTGGATTCTTCATGTGTGGTGTGATCGTCGCGCAACTCACGATGGCAACGATCATTTGCATTCTTCTCGATGAGCTCATGCAGAAAGGGTGGGGCATCGGCTCCGGCTCCTCACTTTTCATCGCCACGAACGTGTGTGATACCATCATCTGGAAGAGCTTTTCGCCCTCGACGATTAACACTGGCCACGGGACAGAGTTTGAAGGGGCCATTATTGCCTTTTTCCACTTGTTGGTATCCCGCACCGACAAGGTGCGGGCGCTGCGCGAAGCTTTATACCGCCCGCAGCTGCCAAACCTCACAAACATCTTAGCAACAGGCTTGGTGTTCGTGGTGGTGGTGTTCTTCCAGGGCTTCCGCATCCCGCTGATGACGAAGGGCAAGTACAACGGCGCGGACCGCCAGCCCTACCTGATCAAGCTCTTCTACACGAGCAACATGCCGATCATCCTACAAACCAGCGTGGTTTCGAATATCAACTTCATCTCGCAGATCCTCTCACGGCACTTTGGGAATCGTAACATCATCGTAAACCTGCTTGGGCGTTGGGAGCCGAGTACTTACCATAGCGGCGGCAGCGGGCAGTACGTCCCTGTCGGCGGCCTCGCCTACTACGTCACGCCGCCCTCAAGCTTCCTCGACCTCATGTTCGATCCCATGCGCATGATCTTCTACATCGTCTTCGTGCTCGGGAGCTGTGCGATCTTTTCACGGCTGTGGATTACGATCTCTCACACCGCGCCGCGTGACGTCGCGAAGCAGCTTGCCGCACAAGGGCGGTGGCTCGTGCAGACGCGTGAGAGCGAGGAGGATATGGCGCGCCTGCTCGATAAGTACATCCCCGTCGCCGCGGGGTTTGGCGGGCTTTGCGTGGGCGTTCTCACGCTCTCCGCTGACTTCCTCGGCGCGATCGGCAGCGGTACTGGTATTATGCTCTCCGTTACGATGATTAATCAGTACTTTGAGATCCTCCAACAGGAGGGGCAGGATCTTGGGTTTGGTACGCTGAAGCAGAAGATGGCGTAACCTTTGGTCGAGGAGAGTGGGATTGTGGAAAGAGGCGCTGAAAGTGATGGTATCCGCGCACGAGGAGGTTTGATTCCGAAACAACTTATCGATTGATATCCCTACGTGAAGGGATATTTGGCCTATTTGGCACACTTAGTGTGTGGTGGGTACGTCCCTTCAGGACATACGATATGTGAGGACTTTGCCAACAAGAAGGGGAGTATTTTCCACAGAAAGCTAAGGGAATCATTGGCTAGAGAAGTCATACTTGGGAGTTAGAGGCTGGAATACGTGCCAAGGAAGATCAGAGTGTTTGTGGAATGGGTTTTTATTTCTATGTCATATAGGGGCTAATGAAGAGAGGATTAACGACAACGACAACGAAAGAAAGTGCGTGTGGATGAGAGATATTCACCCGATATACTCTGCATCATCATGATCCTTTCCTTTTTCAAAATGAGGTTCTATTAACTAGTTGTATTATGGGCTCTAAAAGTAACAATATGCTAAAATGTTTTTAATGAAAAATTCCGTTTGGGTGCCTCGCTTCAAGAGCTTAATCGAATTTTCCGTTTTTTCCATTCAGTTGTGCCTCTAAATGAAGTGAGGATTACTATTCACAGCGTTGTATTTATATTTATGACTAAATCACTCTGTTGAAAGCGTGCTTCGATGATAATACGAAGATAAGGTAGGTTTTTATTGGTATGTGAAGCAAGAGAAGGGTTTGCGTTCCGTAAGTAAAATTCTAAGTAGTAATTACGGACTCTTCCGCGTTAAATCGTACCAGATGGAGGGGTCAGCATAAGCTTGGAAATAAAATTCTAGAAGTGGTAAATGTAATCAAGGAAAACTCTTCGTTTTCATGTGTGATTAAACCTTTTTATTTCTTTCTTCATTGATGCATTCAATGTTTACATATATATAAAACGCTTGACTACTTGTTTGTCTTTCGCGTGTGCTGTAAAACTCTCTCATCCCCTTTCCTCTTTACAAGTACCTAGTTCTCATTTAAAATGCTACTCGTGAAGAAATGCCTGAGCTCGCAAATTCCACACACGTAAAGTACTAGAATCGGACAAGATGTATATATGTAAAGAAAAACATGCGATTTATCCTTTAAAAGGGACCTTGAGTCTCAGGATCGTATCGTGCGTTCTTAAGGCAGTGTAGCCTCCTATTTTTTTCTTTGAATATCATATCCTCCCTTTCCTCTATGGGGACGCATAGCGACAACCGCGTCTGCTACTTTACTGCGGGGGTTAAAAGCCATCGGCGGCTTCCCTCAATACCTCGTCCGCTACGCCATTGATAAAGAAAACGAAGACAACACTCATAAAGGGGACGTATCATCCTTTTCCAGACTGTTTGGCACTGGTTGCACCCGAACGAGGATAAATGCATCCCCAGAGTTACTGGATTTTTCTCTACTTACTTCCCTTTGTTCTCCCTAGATAGTACGCTGAGTAAAATCTAGTTGATGTCATAAGGTGATACTCATCTCTGAAGTGCTTAATCATAAGACTGGGGAAGTCCACTTCCATCCTCAAGGAAGGCGTAGTGTCTACTTACTGTGCAAAAAGATTATCGCAGCTACATTAAGAATAAAGCGCTAAAATTTTCGACCATCTCAATATGGCATCTCTTTACACACCCGCAGTATGACGGTAGCGTTTTATTTTGATATTTATTCTATCCTTTTGCACTCACACACATAATCTGCTTTATTTCATATACAAACCTCAAGAAAAAATAAGCTATTGAAATTGGCCGTTTTGCTATAAGAAGAGACAACACCAACAAATTATATTGGTTTGGAAGTAGTTTTGCTACGACGTCTTTTCGTTTATTATGGAATTTTTGCTTCTAAATTCCCATTTTTTTATTCATTGATGTCGATACAGATTTGGGACCCTTTCAATATATATTTATATGTATTTCCCATAGTAAGGTGTTTTATTTACGTAGATCCTTTTTGGTGGAAAAAGCAAGAGACAAATGCGTATAGAATATCAGCACAGCAGACCTGTGCATGTCGAGTTGACAAGAAAGGGAGGCAACGAAGGGGAAAGCGCAAGTTGTTACCTACCCCGCAATAGCAACGAGGATGTTCCATCTACATCAGTCTCCTATACCTATGGGGTTGACAAAGAGAACAGGAACGGTATCTCGCACGGTGCCCACGCCCTCTCGGCGAGATCGCAGGAGGATCCGTCGTCCCGATTAACTCCCCACCATATGAAGCCGAAAGTGGACAGAGCGACCCGTAGCTCGAGGGCGGTGATGGAGCCGCAATTCCCCGCCAACACGGATGGTGTGGATGAGGGCCGTCCGAACCAGTCACGCGAAAAATTGTCGATGGAGATGGTTGCACCGATATACGAGACGTTCCCAGCGCCAACTCCTTCCAAAGCCATAGATTTGGTGGCTGAAGGGGGGAGTACCTCGTCGTCCCCAGTTCTTTCCCCAGGAAAATTGAGTCCCCAACCACCCATGCTTTCCAACGTTTCCTTGACGATGAGATGGGCAAATCGTAGTTCTCGGGCCTCTACAAACCCCCTTCCTACAAGCAGTAATAGAAAGGAAATTGATGATAGGGCAGAAAAGAGCCACGTCGCACCTCCCCCTCTTTCTGCCCCTGCTGAGGTAGAGAAAGTACAACAGAGTACCCCACCGCCCCCCGACAGCGTTCATCCCAGCACATTTGCCAACCCTTACCATGGGGAATTAGCGAATATGAGCAGTCCTTTGGAGGACAAAACTAGGAGTCAACCGAGTAGCCCTCCCCCAGAGCATCCTGCAGATTATTACAATCAAGACAACTATTCCTCGGAAAGTCCCTCTCCCGCCAGAGATGAAATGGAAGGTGGGTCTCCCTATGGCGGGTGGATGCAAACTTCTGGTCTGAATATGAACGCCGAGCATGTGGCAGAATGGCGCAACCCTGGAGAGCAAAACGCAAACGGAGATAAGGTATTTGAGACTCAAAGCGGCCTTCGAATGGAGAGGCGGCCCGAGTTCTCAAGCTTTCACTCGGAGTACTTCTCACGACAACTTGAGAAGGAACTGGGGCCCGCCCGCTCGGGTGCACGCCCGAAGCAGGGCGAAAATTCCACTGGTGGTAATAAAATCCACTCGGATGGTGCCGCCGTCGCCTCGGCGTCGCGAGTGGCGCGCTCCGGCAGCGAAAGTAGCACGGACTCCTCGGACGACACCACGGCGACCGAATTAGAGCAGCCTTGTGTGGCGTTTTGCGTCGACCGTAGCGATCCGGAAGGATGGCGGTTGCGGCGGCCGCGACGGCACGCCTTTGAGTGGCCGCTCCATCAACTTCAGCTCCTCGCCTGCGGGTTATCGGCGATTGGCGTGGGGCTCTTCTACGCCGGGGTGCTGATGGGGTACATCGTCGTCTACAAAGGTGGACATCCGAGCTGCGTGAGGGAACTTGTGACATTTGTGACAGTCGAGTCCGTGCTTCTTTTGGTGTACCTCATCACCTGGTTGTGGATTTCGTTCTTGGAGAATGGGGATGTGGAAGGGGTGGGGGAGTTCTGCCTCTACTGCTGCCGGGACACCCATGTGGAGTCGAAGCACTGCAAGGCCTGCAATAAGTGCATTGTCGGCTTCGATCATCATTGTAAGTGGCTGAACATGTGCATTGGGGTGAAGAACTACCGCCTCTTTATCGTTTACCTCTCCTCCGCAATTTTTACAATGGGAGTTGCGCTAGCGAGCAGTCTCGTCTTGATGTTGCGATGGTGGAAAGAACTGACGGCGAGTCATACGTACTTAATTGTGGTGTTGATTTTGTTGTCTGTGTTGATGCTGCTCGGCTTGATTCCGACGATCCATCTCATGGGGTTTCATGTCATGTTAAATCTTAAGCGTATGTCCACGTACGACTACATCCAATACAAACGGAATAAAAAGTTCAACCAACATATCTAGTTGGGGATGCTGTCCATGCTAGATGCGAAATATTTTAGAGTCTCAATCCATTAAGAGAAAATCGATGAGGTATCGGCGCATTAACACTTGGTCCACCCTTTCACTCTATTTGGAGAGGTGTTACACGGTTTTATACATTCATTGTGAGTAATAGTGGTAATCAGAAGGAGAAAAAAAGGACGCGTATATTATATTCAGTACTATTTTTATTGCTTATTGTGGTATATTGGGCTGCTTTCACCAACCTTACTCTTATTAGACTGTCATAAGTTCTTTTTAAATAGTAAAATAAGGTGAATTGTGCGTGGTTTGTAATGACATGGATAAGCGCATAAGTAGAGTTGGGTACAAAAATAAATAGAATGTGGGAAATGGCAAAGGTTTGTGACGAACTATTTATTTCTCGTTTTTTTCTTTCTTCAGATAATGAGCAGAGTTTGCAATGTGTTATCTGACACATGTGCACATAAGTGTGTGTATTCTCTTCAGTTTTCCTCAGGGGTTATCTCCAAATATAGAATCACCTGCTAATCAATTGTGTGTATGTAAAACAGAATAGGCAATCAAGCCACTTTGGGTTGCGTTATTAGTGCGATTAGGTTGGGTGTTAGCATTTTTCCTTCACTATTTCTTAGAACATTTTCTGGCTGCATGATTTCTTTATATGTGGTTTACTGTCTGTTTGCCTCCCTTAATGTTTTTCACATTGGTTTTATTTTTAACAGATCCTTGATCGGTCTGTACATGTACCTCTAATTCTTTTCGCATTGTTTGTCACTTTTATTATCATCAAAACATATTTAGGATAACTAAATGTCGTATTATGTGCTAGCACCAACCTCAGAAAAGAAACCAAGTAGTAATGTTTTCTATATGTTTCGCACTTTATATGAATAAAACCAAAGTTCGTATGTATGAATGGAGAAAGGATTGATTCAAATTCCACATGAAGTGTTTTCTCTTTCTCCATCCATTGATTAGATTCCTATTAATTAGGGTTTATTTTACTACTGGTCACACGATCCATTGTAAAACCTTCTCTAAAAAATGGAAGCACAACCAGAAGTTCCTCTAGTCTCGATTTTGGGTTGTGTAAACGTATATTCAACACTATTTTGGCTTCAGAACTACCGTAATCGGTCTAAATGATTGTAGAGTGGTTTGATTAATCTTCTTAGTTATCTCCCAAATATGAACATAAACAATTTGAGCTCACAAGATGTTATTTATCGCTCCTTTTTATATTCTTTGTCATATGACTCTTATATTTCATAATATAATTGCGTCAGAACAGTAATGCATACATCAAGTCATGCTGTCTTCATTTCAATAGGTACAGGTGACAGAATAACCTGCATACGTGTAACTTTGCATTTTGCGTTTAACTCTATGGCTAATTATTATACACGAATCATTTGTTTTGTTATCTGTTTGCTTTTATATTCGGGTTTGTCTTTCCTCCTCTATTCGTATGATTTTACTAGAAGAAAATAACATCCCTACTTACATCACCTGAGTATACGCCCATCCGTTGTTTAAAAATAAATTTCACTGTGGAATATATATTCCCTTTTAGCCCTCTAAAGGTGTATTATTGCTCGCTTTTACTAACTTTCCCAGAGATTACGAATTCATATTAAATCTGAAACTCTGCAATATTTTCCAGAACTTTCACTATGATTGCATTGGTACTACTCTTTATCCTGACAGGTACTGTTCTGTATGGGTGGTACTTCTGTAAATCGTTCAACACCACGCGCCGAACCGACCCTCCTGTGGTCAAGTGCACCACGCCTTTTATAGGTCACCTCGTCCAGTTCGGCAAGGATCCGTTGGGGTTTCTACGAAATTGCAAAAAGACATATGGGGGGATCTTCACCTTCAACGCATGTGGTAATCGCATCACGATCATCGGGGATGTTCACGAGCATAGCAAGTTCTTTACCCCCCGTAACGAGATCCTCTCGCCTCGTGAGGTCTACGCGTTCATGATACCAGTTTTTGGCGAGGGGGTGGCCTACGGTGCGTCCTATGCACGCATGCGTGAGCAAATCAACTTCCTGGCGGAGGAGCTCACCGTCGCGAAGTTCCAGAACTTCGTGCCGTCGATCCAGCACGAGGTCCGCAAGTTCGTCGAGGCGAACTGGAAAGGCGACTCCGGGGAGATCAACATCCTGGAGGACTGCAGCACGATGATCATCAACACCGCCTGTCAATGTCTCTTCGGCGAGGACCTTCGCCGTCGTCTGAACGCGCGCCAGTTCGCGCAGCTCCTCGCTCGGATGGAAGCGAGCCTGATCCCCGCCGCGGTCTTCATGCCCATCCTGCTCAAACTCCCGCTGCCGCAGTCCTACCGCTGTCGGGAGGCGCGGGCGGAGTTGCAGGCGATCCTCACCGACATCATCCTCGCCCGTGAAAAGGAAGAAGGGCTGCAAGACAGCCACACCTCCGACCTCCTCGCCGGGTTGCTTCGCGCCGTCTACCGCGACGGCACTCGGATGACGCAGCATGAGGTGTGCGGCATGATCGTCGCCGCGATGTTTGCCGGGCAACACACCTCCACCATCACCACCACCTGGTCGTTGCTGCATCTGATGCGGCCGGAGAATGAGGCCCATCTGGCCCGTCTCCGCGCCGAGGTGGATGAATTTCCCGCCCAACTCAACTACGACAACGTGATGGAGGAGATGCCGTTTACGGAGTCGTGCGCGCGGGAGTCGATCCGGCGGGATCCCCCGTTGATTATCTTGATGCGAAAGGTTCTGAAGCCCGTGCAGGTGGGGCGGTATGTCGTCCCCGCGGGCGACATCATCGCCTGCTCCCCGTTGCTCTCTCATCACGACGAGGAGGCGTTTCCCGCGCCGCGGGTGTGGAATCCACTGCGGAATATTCGTCGGGTGGAGGGCGCCTTCTGCGGCTTTGGCGGCGGGGTTCACAAGTGCATCGGCGAGAAGTTCGGCCTGCTGCAGGTTAAGACGATTCTCGCGACGGTGCTGCGCGAGTTCGACTTCGAGCCGATCGGGCCCCTGCCGGAGCCAGATTACCACACGATGGTGGTCGGGCCCACCGCCAGCCAGTGCCGGGTGCGTTATATTCGGAAGAAGAAGCCCATCATCGCCGCCGCCGCGTGATTTTCATACGAGAAGAGGAGGAACCTTGTGAAGCGCAAAGGCGGGGAGATTTTTCACAAACAAAAAAGATATATATATATATATGTGTAATCCAGGAAAAAGCTCTGGTGTGGTTATCGTGGGGGGAGAATAGAGGCGGAATCTGCGCTTTTGCACGCTCCCTTTCGTGCTTTTTTTTCCATTCTGCATATTTAGACTCGCGCCGCTCAGCGGAAAATGCTGAAGTTCAAATGTGTTATTGAAGAATGAAACTATAAATACCTATATATTTATGTTTATTTAAGCAAAATTATGATTCAAATTCAGCCAAGCAACTCTTTATGAGCTAGAGTATTATTCATTGAAATGTGTCGAATGGATGTAGACTCAAAAAAAAATGAGATTTGCAATGAGCAACAACAGCAACAGTTGTAAACGCGTCCAATAGATGTTAATGTCCGAAATAAATTACTATATAAATAACATGTGAGGGGTGATACTTAAACCGATAGATTTTTTCAAAAAAGAAATTTCACCTAGCTTGTTTGCGGTGTTAATTAAATCTTATTATTATTATCATTATTATTAATGTCCATATAACATGTTCCGATAAAAGTGAATCAGACAAACAAATCAAAAAGACACCGAGCAGGATATGTTTGCATCTATTTCAAATGGTGAAAAAGTTCCTTTGGCAATAACACCTTAGAAAAGAAATAAATTACGTGAGTTTTAATCTAGGGTAATTTGTGCAATGTTCTTATGTTCATCGGAAAAAAAATAACGAACGTAAAGGATCTCTTATGTCGATTCGATTTTTAAAAGGATTGTGATAATTGATTTCTATATCTGTTATCTTTCTTTTGCGTGTGTATCACCGATGTCTAGTTTTTTTTATATACTACACATTCGAAAATGAGGTTTCGTTGCAACCTCTTGAGAAAACTTGGGTGGTCATTAAATAAAGCACATGTTCGACTTAGATGAACATGTAGAGGGGATACGCATGGTGGTGGAGGATCCGATCCCACGGAACTCTAGAGTGTCCTCCGTGTATTGATGTACAAATATGGGGTTGAACCGTTGTGTCGGTGTAACGAGTGGTTTTTGATCTCTTACATGCCGCACTACCACGCAACCCCACACGCACGGACGATTCCCCATCTGCGTTTCCACCCCTACATGTAATTTTCGGTAAGCATAAAATCTACTCCAAGGATAATATTTAGGATGCTATGTTGAGTGGATCAGCAATCATGTTGTCCTGTGCACAGGCTATAAATCTTTCCCACTTCTCGTTCAGTTGAGTCAAACACAAAAGGGGCTATTCTTGTCTATAATCATATTACTTGAGCTTTTGTTGATTAACCATCGGATCAATTTCTCTTTTCCACACCTTTGTCTTTCTCCCTATTATGTCAAACACACAAAGGTGAGTGGTGTTTTTCAACCAAAATGACCCATTCCGCGGATCTCCAGTGGCT